CTCCTTTTGCGATATTCCTGATATTCCGATCGACAACGACGACGACCACCACCACCGAAACGGCGCGAGCTGCTCTGTGTGGTGACGACATTGCTGCGCTTTTACTGATATATAAAAACCAGTAAAACTAATGATATTTCATAAAAATATTTTCCAAGCGTTTTAAAAAAAATAGCTGATACATATGCATACAAATGTTTGCATTGTGGCTGGCGTTGTTCATTGGTGAGGCATCGACCAATAAAATGACTTCTTTCCCACCCCAGCCCCGCCCCCGACTCTGCTCGCTCAAGTTTGCATTTACAAGTGCACGAGTGAGTTTTGCTACAGGAATATAGAGTGAGAATTGCACGCTTTGTAACAGCTCAGAGGGAGTTTCCGAGCCGCAATGCGGGCATTCAGCACGTCCAGCAGGGCCTGCCCCTTACGGCGACCGGAAAGTTTTATAAAACTCTGCCGGTGTTACCCAACAATCCCTGGTGCTCACATGTTCGATTTCATTTCTGTTTGTTTCATTGAAACATGCGGGGGAGGGGAAAATGAGCGGGGCTATGGTGGTGACAGGAATCAGGCATGTAAGTAAATAAAGGAAACAGGCAGATAAGTATAACGTAATATGCACAGAGGCGCATCTTGTCAGCCGGCAGGGCAGGCAGCTGCTTGGGGCCCCCAAGTTTACTGTTCACAATTTTTTGTTAATGTCAGATTATTTATTAAAATGATGACAAAAACTGGTTAGAGGGGGGGCCCCCAGTGAATTTTTGCTTGGGGCCCCAACAGACCCTAGGATCGCCTCTGAATATGCAAGCAATTTCTATAATAAAGTATTAAAATTAGAAACCATCCAGCAGGGCCCTGGCTAATCAGTGGCGAGCAGGGCAGCTGCCTCGATGCGTGAATGGAAAATATAACACTTAAATAGGAGTCAATTAATAGTTTATGTCAACCAGTAATAGTTCTAAGATAACATTTGAAATCTGCCAAGAAAACATTTAAAAAAAAAATTTGTCAGTGAATTTACACGTATGAATAAAGCATTTTCCATAAATTAAATATAGTTCAAAACGAATATAAAGTTCAAAACGAAAAGATCACTATTCGAATCAACAAAACCAAACAAGTGTTTTGAAAATGTCAATGTAAAGGTCAGCCCAACTCTGTTTTTAACAAAATGACAAAGATCAAACCAAAACCTTTTAACAAAAACACATTTCCAAAACAAAAATGACACCAATGTTCTGGGGGACGTTCACAGAATGATCATGTAATGTCTATATCTGGATTAAAACGAGTTAAATTATTCTTCACATTTTATTCACAAAATGTTGCGCAGATATAGTTGCGTTGTGCGCTTAGTCTGTGCTGTTTAGACAACCGACACATTTAATAGTTACGAATTACTTACCAGGAGGGGAGATGATGAGAAGTGAAATCATGAACTTGACAAAAGAATTCAGAAAATCCATTTAATCCTTCTTTTTAATTTTCAATCGCAGACTCCAGAGCACTCGAAGCTAGGCTGCTCGTTACAACTCACGATTTATTTGTGTTGAATGCCGATGATTCGTTTTATTTTCAGCCAATAATGAAAAGTTGTGTCGTCATAGAGGCGGGTCCAGTTGTGTA